TCCGTTTCATGGCGGAGGTTGGTCCAGGGGGGGGGGGCTACCATATATATATATATATATATACATATATATATATATATGTAGCAGATCCGCTGCTGGAGCGCTTTGTCACGGCCTCTGGAAAGTCCCTATGTGAACCTGTGCTCTGACAAACCGTGAACTGAGCTGTCTGTCAGCTGCGTCTGATGCTTCGGGGGCCTCAACCTTGCTGGGTATGACTAACGATGTCATGCCTGGCAGCTAGTAGAACTTGTGCCCACTGCTTTGCATTGGGTGAACTGCCATCTGGCTTAAATGAGCTGTACGATGCTTGCCTTGACGCTTGGGAAACTGGCTTTGTTTCATCTGAAGAGTCTCTCTCGAAACCACTTCAGGAGAGGGATCAGGATAGGATCAGTTTGTTGTGGACACCTGCGATGCAGAGTCAGCTCGCTGATGATGCCATGTGGAAGCCAAATATATATATATATATATATATTTATGCCTGTCTATCTATTTAATCTGTCTACCTACCTACTTATCTATCTATCTACATACACATACTGTCACATACTTTTGTATTCCTATTCATATTTATGTTTATTTTCCACGCGCAAAGACGCACGACCGGCACATGGGAAGAACAAATCGGATTCCTTCTTGCTCGAGAAGTCAGGTGTATGCCAGAAACCTGGAATTCCGAGCAAGTGCCGGTGATGCAGCAGCTGCGCTTTGCCGGTCCTTTTCGCAAGGACCGCTTCTCCGTGCCTTGCGAGCCTTTCGAAGATGAGCTTGTTGCTGACAAGGCGAATATCCCGCTTGCAGTTATGTCCATCCGTTTCGAGAGGAGTTGCGTGGGCGGCAGCCTTGCAGCTTACAGGTGACATCCAAAGCTTGGTTGGCGTGAGCAGCGCAGCCAAAGCCTGCAGCAAGGCAACCTTCTGGAGCGCTACCCTCTTGGCCCTCTGGATCAAAAAAGTTTGAGATGCACGGCACATGACTATCATGCACGGATGGCATGTTCAAGCCCCTGGCCTCGAAGTTACGAATGCAAGGTACTCAGCCACATTGTGCACCTGCAGCTACTTGAAGAAGTGGAGACTGTTCATCTCATCTGTTTGCTGTGTCAGGGAAGCCCTGTTTGCTGTGTCAGGGAAGCCCACCCTAATCCGCCTGCCCACGTCCCAGGCTTGAGCGTGATGCCGTGGCCGAAAACATTGAGCTCGAAGCGAAGATTCAGAGATCCTGGCGCGAAGGGCTTCGGTCGCTTCGACGCTCTCAAGCGTGCCTTGGAGTGATACTTCCTGGAAGGTTAAGCGGGGTCGGATAGTATACTATATATAGTATACTGATACCACCTCGAAATTCTGTTCCCATGTTCCAGTTTAAGGGCATCTGGGGAGTTTCACCCTCCAGCTTCCCTGGTCGAATGTTGAAGGCCAAAGTCTCCCGAACAGTCCCGTGAGTTTGGCATTCGTTCGCACCCCATTGTTTTGCAATGTCGCAGTGTCGGCACGAGCCACAGGCGTTTCAAAGATGGATCCGCATGCTTCGTCCCAAGTTCACGGAAGCAACTTGGAATCGCACACAACACCTGCATCAGCTCCTGTGAGCAGTTCAGAGCCTGGGACGCGGCTTTGGAGTTTGCACGAGGACTGCTAAGCGCGCGGGTGCACAACATGGCGAGTTATGCCCACCCATCGATGCATGCATTCCTTGTCAGTTGTACTTCAGCCTATTACTGTAGGCCAGGATATGAATTTGATTTGGATGTGCCAGACAGGAATTGGAAGGCATGTGGCATGCACCGCAAGTTCAACACTGACATCAGTACTGGACCTCGTAGTTAGGACCCTGCAGGAATACGAAGTGCCACATTGCAGCTGAGCGCTGTGAGCCTTGGTGCTACCGTCGCGGCTTGCGTCGTCGGGCACTGGTGTTGTGCGCTTGCTCTGGCCTGCTGCTGAGTATTTCAGTGTGCCAGACAGGGGCCACATATGGCCGCAGCCCAGGAAGTCCATCCTATAGCTATATAGATCTAATGATTCTGATGTAAGTGGCAAGCTTGCCCAGGTTCGGAGCATTGCTCAGCTTGCAGTGCAAGTCAGCACTGTGGTGCGCAATGCGCTCATTCACTCATGCGGAAGCGCGTGGCAGCCGGCGGTGGCGACGCTGTCTGCAATGCGAGACAGCCAGCACTCTCAGGACAGAGCTTCTTGGACTTTGTAAAGTCTTGCTATGTCACGTGGAAGCCAACGGGAAGGTGCCCGGTGTTCCTTGGATTCGTAGACTGAAGAAGGCCTTCGAGCACAAGATAGCTACAGGAGCAGCAGTAGCACACTACCAGAAGGCGACGAAAACAAGATGCAGCTTTGACTTTTAGCCTCGATGGATTGGATTCGTCTTGGAAGGGGATTGCCAACGTCGGCGGCATGTCAACTTTAAGCTTATTAACAGTAGTTCGTTGTCGGAACCTTCCCTGATGTTTGTCTGGTGCAGGATCGCGTGAGTTTCAATTCAGCCATCGCGGCGCTGTCTTCCCGTGGCTCGTGGCAGCTGGCAGCTGAGATGACGCTCCGGCTATCACTTTCGCCTGGTGTATAATATATGTATATTTTGGGGGCCGCAGCTCTGTTAATTGTGCTGAACCTTGAAGCTTGGCTTACAGTAGGTCTCTTTGCAGTCGCTCGCACAAGCAGCATGGCACAGGATGTCCTCCCTGCTGCAGCAAGATCTGGAGCCCACTTTCGAGACCCGGAGCTCTGCCGTTGCTGGACTTGGCAGCAACTGGAAAGAAGCTGCAGGCATGCTCTGCACCTTGCCTGCATTTATCACCTAGATTTCAGGAGCGGTGCTTACCTTCACGCTTCAAATTGCAAGGTACTCCCGAGTGTTGTTCTTTGGAGTGCTGGCAGCAGGTGCATCGGATCTCCAGTCAATACAACGCAGCGAAACGAGCTTGGGCGCCGCACTGATGACAACGAAGGAACCGTAGAATGCAACAATGCAGTATAGTGCCCCATTAGTTGCTTGGCTAAACATGGTGACGGCCGTGGCTGCACAGCTTTGACGATTCGGCTCCACGTTCAATAGGTTGCACTGCAGGCAGTTGAGGAGTCTAAGTCCATCCAGTTCGGAGACACTCTCTGATGCATGTTTCCGCAGGAGATGTGGCAGGTCTCGACGTCGTGGCTTCGGTGGATGCCAAATGCAACTTGGTTTCGGTGCTCACATGCTATATACCTAGAACAACTTGTGGAATAAGAGTTGTTCAAGCTCTCTCATTGTCAAGGCAGACCGCCTTTGTCACAGCACTGCCGCCAGTGCCTGCGAGATCCAGGGGGCAGTCTTCGGATGGAGCTCGGGATGAGTGCCTTCCCATGCTCCGCCGTCAGCGATTGCGTGTTCTCCGCGGATGGTGAGGATCTGGACAGCAGAGCACGATGCCCTGAAAGTTCATGCCGCCTGCTATGTGTTGCGCCTACAGCTGCAGCTTGCTGTGCCCGGCTTTTGCCAGCACTCGGGAAGCTTCCCTTGTGGTTCTCTGCTCAGAGGCAACTGATGCCTCAGGGAGGCATTTCTGCTGCGACATTCGTCTCTGCGGCACTCTCTACAGCTGGGCCTCGATCGTATTTTGACGTGCTCTTTTGCCACGGACTAGCCAAACCAAGTCAGATCTTGCTTGCCGCAACGAAGTCAGTCAGTTTCCGGCTGTGGCGTTTTCGACTGACCGCCGGCGGAAGACTCCAGAAGCCCAGGAGGCTGCTTGATTGATTGGCTGAAGCTGTTGATCCGAACAGCAGCCCGCCCCTCGATGCTTCGTGGACATGCGGGCAATGTTGTTTGAAGGGTTTCTGGTGGCATAAGTGGTGATGAAGCAATGCCTATGTGTCAAAATACAGAAGGTGCACTCTTTGCTCGAGCCGCCAACGTTTTGAAGTTCCTTTCGCTCGGCAATGCCTGAGCAGTCTTCAATCATCTCGCGGCTTTGCAAGCTAACCTTATTCGGCGGATGAAAGATTTCCCATTTGGGCTGCCTCAGTCGGCATGCATCCCTTATAGCAAGTAGCATCGCGTGGAGAATGTACCTAAACAGCCACAAAGTGTTGCAGCTCACCAGAGCAGATGTCACGACCGTTGTCAGACCCTCCATGCTTTAAGTCCGTTGAATCCATGCTTCACGGGCTGCCGGCTGTTCAACGTACTTGTGACGCTTTATGAGACTATAGGGCTTGTTGGCACTGGGAGGCCCTGTAGGGGAGGTGCTGATCAGATTTTGCGAGCAGTGGGAGGGCCCACAGGACCTACTAGGAGGTTTGCGCATGCTCCCTGCGCATCCAACAGCATTCCAAGGTCGACAGACGGGACGGAGCCTTCGCACATGCGCTATCGAGGCTCCGGACGGTTTCGCGGCTCACCTTCCAAACAGCCACGAAGTACATCCCTGAAATGACCGTGATGGCGCCGTCAGGAAGAAGAGAGTATACTGCCCTTCTATCTTAGAGGGATGTCAGTGAGGGGGCTATGCGAAGCTCTACAGAGTGTTTTGGCGAAGGAATCCAAATCGAGATAAATCGAGTAAATCGCTGAAGTCAGTGAGCAGCCGTTTCGTAGCCAGCTAGTCAGTCCAGTAGTCCGGTAGCTGATCCTCGAAATTATGCCTTCCACCGCCACCAACATTGC